TGGAACTTTTGAGAACTCTGGTTTAAACAGTTGCCCTGACTAGCTAGCTCCAGTATTTCTTGAGCCCCCTTCAATGTACACTTGGAAGCAAGTGCAGGTTGATAAGGTTTCTCAATAGCTACTCTTATTCTTGTTCCTGGACTGCAGCTGGACTGCAGCTGGTCTGAATCCAAAAGTGGGAACTCCTGGAAAAATCCAGACATGCTAGCTGGGCTGAGCCCTTCTTCCTTGGCCACCTTGAAGCAGGTAGCTGAGAAAAGCAGATAGCCTTCACTGTCTGCTTCCTCACCACCACCCTTGGCTGAATACTTGTTCTGGAACTTCCCAACCACATGCAAAAAGGAACTTTCCAGGGGTTAGACTCAGCCCAGAGGAATAAAGATGCTAATCACTTTGGGCAGCTATCCCTCTCTCTCCACCTGGGTCTCAGCCACACCCACCCACAATTTCTGGCTTGATTTAACATCTTGGCTGGCATCCTCAACAGGTGCACAAAGTGGGGACTTCATTCCCAGGAGCCTTTGCCAAAAGCTCCCATTGCCTCAGAGGGAGGGGGAGAATATGGCCTCAGTAGAATATCAATAAGAAGCTATGGTGAGAAGACATAGTTGGCCAGAGCTGGTGATGGGGTAATTAATTCTACTTAAGAAAAATGTTACTAATAATTAAATGTACTAATTAAGAAAAATTGAATCAGCTGTTGTTTGTGTAACACAGAAGCTGCAGCTTTGCTGACACATTTCTTGGGTAGCTTCCGGCTGGGACTAAATGCAGCAGACACTGTTGGAGCCCAAGAGAAGCCAGAGGAGATGTGATCTGGAGAGGCCTTCATGGAAGGAAGCAGCACACTTGGGAGGGTCTGGTAAGGTGACAGGTCCAAGAGGAGACGCTAAAGTAAGATAGACCCTGGTGGGCAGTTCAGTGATGGGAGAAGGGACACAGGGAGAGGCAGATCAGAGGTCAGACAGGGCAAGGTATCTGATGGCCAGTAGGTGGGTCTTCAGTGGTTAGAACTGAACCAGTGGTCAGGTGAGCAACGTCATAGAAAGATGCAGAACTAGGGGCTGCTGGGTGGCTCAGTTCATTGAGTGTCCAACTCTTGATTTTGGCTCAGGTCATGATCTCACAGTTTGTGGGATCAAGCCCCACATTGAGCTCTATGCTGACAGTGCTGAGCCTACTTGAGATTCTTTCTCCCTCTCTCTGTCCCTCCCCTGCTTACATGCATTCTATCTCTCTCTCTCTCTCTCTCTCTCCCAAAATAAATAAACATTTTTTTAATGTTTTGGAGTTAGATAAAGGTACTGACTGTCCAACATTGGGAATGTACTTAATGATACACTTTAAAATGGTTACTTTTAACCATTGAGAATTTTACCTCAATTATTTAAAAAAAAAAAAAAGTGGTTGCCTAAGATCTAGGCAGGACAGGAAGCCAGTGAGGATGCCCAAAAGTAGGAAAATGGGATCTGTCCCTTCTGAAAATATACGCCAAATAAATTTTTTTGGAAAGGCCCGGCTTCCTACTTCACCTGTCAAGTGAGTGCAATGTTAGTGAGCTTTGTTAACTGGAGAACTCTGTATAAATGCAAGCACTGTTACTGAAGCACTATATCTGATCTCGTTGGTATTCCCCTGGACAAGCCAGCTCAGGGGTTCTAAACACAGTGGTCCAAAATAGCCATTGTTATTTAGGATGATGTAAATTAATAATGAAGCAGCTCTTCCCTGTTTTCTGGGTGCTCAGCACTGTAAAACATACCTTACATGCACCCAATCAGTTAATCCTCTCAGCAACCCTGTGAGATCGTAGGATCAGAACTGGTTTCCAAATGAGAAACAAAATCCTGAAAAGTTAAATCGTTTGCTATATGAGTTATCTGCTGCTGGGTAACAATTCATCCCAAAAACTTAGCAGCTTAAAAGCCACAGTTACTATCTCACAGTTTCTGTGTGCCAAGAGTCCATGCCTGGCTCATCTGGGCCTCTATTCAGGGCTGCCATCAAGGTGTTGGCCAGAGCTGGGGTCTCATCTGAAGGCTTGAGTGGAGAAAGATCCAAGTCCAAGCTCACGTAGCTGCCGGCAGGATTCAGTTCCTCGAGGGTTGTTGAACTGAGGTCTCAGCTGCGAGCTGGCTATTGGCTGGAGGTCAGTTCCTTGCCAGGTGAGCCTCTCCAACAAGCCAGTTTCCTTCATCAAAGCACAGAAGCCAGAAGGCAATGGAATGTGCTAACAACACAAATGGCAATCTTATAAAGCCTGATCACAGAAGCGACGTTCCTTTACCTTTGCTCTATTCTGTTGGGTAGAAGCCCACACTCGAAGGGTGGTGGCGGTGTGGATTTATACAAGCACATGAATATCAGGAGGTGGGGATCATGGAGTGTGTGTGCTGGGGAGGACACCTGCCAAAGGTTTGCAGATAGTAGAGCTGAGCCACATAGGCCTTGGGGTTTTGAACAGGCTCAGTTTCACACCTACACTGCATATTCTCCATGTTCTTCAAGGGTGTACAGGGGGCGGGAGGAATTCCGCAAGGAGGGAGAGACAGAGACAGAGACAGACAAATAGACAGACACAGATGTTTTTTATAGAAAAAAGGCTGTGCTGAACTCTTTCTGGCCAGGCCTCCCTGATGAGGCTGGTCTCCCAGGATGCAGCCCAGAGCTAGGGCTGCCCTCAATATTAATGGTGTCCTCATTAGAGTCATGTGCAATGCTGCATTGTAATTGCCTAGCAGAGCCCTGAGCACCTGAAGAGAAGGCTTTCCACATCCTTCTCGTCATGACTATTAATAGGCTGGGAACATTCAGGCCTCCTAAAGCCCTGTGTTGGCAACCCCCCTCCCAACACTGGTAGTTCAAGTCTTCTTTATACCAGCCCCATAGCTCTGCTGTGACCAAGGGCAGCACCTGCTCTGTCCCTGAGGCTGGTGCCTGCTACCTGGGTCTTCTGAGCATCTGGGAGCCGGGGAGGAAGGATTCAGTCTATCACCATCAGATCTGCTCGAGGAAGGACCTCATTGTACCCCTCATATTCCTGGCAGCCAGCACAGTGCCCAGCAGGTGGATGTGAAATGAATCAGTGGGTCATCTGTGCAGATGTACTGGGACACCCGTGAAGCCAGGTGTGAGCGGTGAGGCGCCATCTCCACGCACTTCTTGTTTCCCTTCAGTTCTTGAATGAATGGCGCTATTGACCTTCTTGTGCTCCAGAGACATCACTGTACAAAATACGACCTCCCAGGAATCCCCCAGCTCGGGCTGGCAGAACTACTACCGTACCTCTGTGTATCTCCAGCCCTGGCAGCCAGGGGAGAAGTGAGTACCTGTGCTGTTTCTCCCCCACTCCTTTCTCTTGCAATCGCCAGTCCTTAAAACATAAAAGCCTTTGGGCCACCCACTTCCAGCCATGAAGTGGGGCCATTGCTCCTCAACCTTGCTTCTAAATAAGACTCTGGGCTGGGCGTGGGTGACACTGCATTCCCTCCTACAGCAGTGGATCCACAGCGAGTTCTCTGACTTCTTTCTCACTAACACGGAGATGAAAACGAATTTAATATCAGGCAGGGCATCCCCTACTACATACATATCAGTGACTGTCACCCGCTCTGGACCTGCAAGACACCTGGGTAACAACTTGTATAAACAGGCAGCCTGAGAGTTGATGCCAAATGAGTGGTCTAGAAGCCCCCCTTCACTTTCATGGCCTCTGTAGGTTTTAGACTGCCTGGCAAAGATCGTATTCTTATTTGCAAGACTGAATTAAATCCTGGAGGACGTGTTAGCCAAAGGCCATGGAGACCTCTTGACTCCTACTAACAGGAGCAGGGGCAACTGCTGGCCATGAGAGCCTTGACCAAGCAGTGCTAAGACCAGCCCCACCCACCGTCTGCCCTCCCTCCCCATCACATGCCTCCCTTTCCTTCCTTCTCTCCCCAGCTGCCTCCTCCTGCCTCCTTAGGCCGGGCTTTGCTGTGCTGGGAGCAAAAGCTTTATTGAATTTTTGCAAGTACTTTGCATGGCGTCTGATTTACAATTCATAACCTGGATTATACTGCAAGTTCTGCCTTCCGGGGTCGGTGTAATTTAGATCTCGGAAATATTTGCCATGCTTTCAATGCCCCTGACATCTGAGGGATTGGAAATGGATTCCACCCTGGAGCTTTACAATTTGGAAGGGGAAGAGGGGGTGAAGCACAAAACGGGGTGGTGGCGTTGAGGGGTGGGCAGCATAGAGTGAAAACTGAGAGGTGAGAAGAGAAAGTTAAACATGAACAGGAGGGAATGGTGACATGAATGAGAAAGAGGGAGCAGGGAAGGTGTGACTATCTCCTGAACACATTGCCTCCCCATGGCACCACTATGACCTGGAACGTAGGGCCCAAATGCCAAGGGCCGGTGGAGAAAAATGCTACCTGGGGGAGCAGCTTGGCATTATGGAATAGTCCAGGCTGAAGCAAAACTGTCCCTCTTCTGATCTGCCTCTGTCCCTGGCTTGCTGCAAGAGGGGAAAATCTCCCCAACTACTTTACTTTTAATGATTTTGTTGAGATATAATTCACATACCATACAGTTCACCCATTTAAAATGAATAACTCGGGGTTCCTGGGTGGCTCAGTTAAGTGTCGGCCTTCAGCTCAGGTCATGATCTCGCAGTCTGTGGGTTCAAGCCCCGCGTCGGGCTCTGTGCTGACAGCTCAGAGCCTGGAGCCTGCTTCGGATTCTGTGTCTCCCTCTCTCTCTGCCCCTCCCCAGCTTGCACTCTGTCTCTCTCTCCCTCTCAAAAATAGATAAACATTTAAAGAAAATCTTTTAATAAATAAATAAAAATAAAGTGAACAACTCAATGGTTTTTAGTTTATACACAGGGTTGTGTACTCTCACCCCAGTCAATTCTAGAATATTTTCATTATCCTGAAAAGAAACCCTGTACCCCTTAGCCAGTACCCTCTGAATTCATTTTCTGGAGCTGCGGTAACAAATTACCACACCCTTAGTGGATTAAAATGACAGGAATTTATTCTTTCCCAGTTGTGGAGTCGAGTCTAAAACCGAGGAGATGCAAGGGCCGCGTTCTGTACAAAAGCTTTACATGGGGATCTTCCCTTGACACTTTCACCTTCTGGAGGTTCCAGGTGTTCCTTGGCTGGTGGCCACGTCACTTCAGTCTCTGCCCCCATCTCCGTGTGATGTCCTCCAGATGTCTGGGTTTGGGATCTCCCTCTGCCTTTCTCTTATAAGGACACATGTCACTGAATTTACGTCTTGCCCAAAATCTAGGATGATCTCGAGATCTTCAATTACATCTGCAAAGACCCCTTCTTCCTAATAAGGTCGTATTCACAGGCTCTGGGTTTAGAATACGGACATATGTTTTTAGGGCCACCATTCAACCCACTGTACCCCCCTGGTGCCCCCAGGTCCCCCAGCCCCTGGCAACCACTAATATACTTTCTGTCTCTACACATTTGCCTATTCTGAACATTTCGTGTAAATGGAATCATACAATATGTGGTCTTTTGTGATTGGCTTCTTTCACTTGGTATATTTTCAAAGTTCATTCATGTTCTAGTACCTATCAGTACTTCATCTCTTTTCATATCCATTGTATGGATATACCACATCTTTCTATCCATTCATCCAGTGATGGACATATGGGCTGTTTACACTTTTTGATTATTCTGAATAATGCTGCTATGAAAGTTCATGTCCTCTTTTATTATCAGCAAAGCAGAATCTCACATCTGCCTCCCCCAAATCCCATGGCCGTGGTGTCCGTGATAGGCAATTTCTAAAATGGCTCCCAATGATTCCCATCTCCTACTATTCATGCCCTGTGTAAAATCCTCACCTTAAATGAGAGTTGCACTCAATGGCCTGTGTCTAAAGAATGGGATACAACAGAGATGGCACTTCAAAGATTCGGTGGTAAAATACTGTGACTTCCACCTTGCTCTCATTCTCTTCTTGTTTGCTCACTTTTTCATTATAATAAGGGAAACTGTCAGATCATGAGTTGTCCTATGGAGAGGTCCACAAGGCAAAGAACTGAGGGAGGCCTCTGGCCAAGATACAGTAAAGGCCTGAGACCTGCTGACTATCATGAGTGAGCCTGGAAATGACTCTTTCCCCAGCCAAGACTTCAGATGAGACCGCAGCCCCAGATAACAGTTTTGATTGCAGCCTTGCGAGAGCTCCTGAGCCTAGGGCCCAGTTGAGCTACACCAGTATTCCTGACCCATGAGCTGTGAGATAATAGTATATGTATATGTTATTTCTAGTCACTAAGTTTTATTGTAATGCGTTATGTAGCAAGAGACAATACAGTGAGGATAGAAGAAAAGGTAAGTTTGGGAGACTCTGGGCTTCTGGAACGATGGTGAGCCAGGGATGAAGTTATTGGGAATGAGTTCTTGAACCAGAAGAGCTGGTGTTTGGAGGGTTGTGGCTGTGGATATCCCAGCCCCAAATCCCATAAAATGATTTGACTTTCTTCCTTTGGGTGGAGAAGTGTTGAGCTAATCAGAGTAGAAAACTCAGCTATAAAATACCCTCTTCTGCCTCTGAGTCTCTGTAGTACTGAAGGTATGGAAATGGAGAAGGGGCAGTGAGTAGCTCCAGACTGGCTCAGAAGCACCACACAGAGTTGGTTCAAGAAACCAAAGATCTGGGCTCCTAGGACACTGCTGTCTCTAATGCAGTAGATTTCCCAAAGGGCACAGAGAGGGTATTGTCTAACCCTCTAAGAGGGTGAATACCAGAGGACAAGAAAACATCAAGGTCTAATGAAGAGATCAAACTGTGGAAGATTATATTCCAGAAATGGCTGCAATAATATCTCCTCCTACATAGTCTTCCTGCAATGTGATTTGGTCTCTCCCCCATCAAGATGAAGGGTCCCTTTCCCTTGAACCTAAGCAGACCTAAGTGTCTCCCTCAATCCGTAGAGTATGGCAAGAATGATGCTTTGTGACTTCCAAGGCTACGTCAAAAAAAAGGCAACAGAGCTTCCATGTGGTTACCTGTTTCTTGGGATGCTTGCTCTTGGAACCCAGCCGCAATGTTGTGAGGAAGCCCAGGCCACATGGAGAGGTCACGTACAGATGTCCCAACAGACAGCTCCAGCTAAGGTCTCAGCCAATAGTCTGCATCAATCACCAGACATGAGAGAGTGAGGAGGTCTTTAAGATGATTCCAACCACCTTCTGAATGAAACCACATGAAAGAACCCAAGTGAGAACTGACTGGCTAACCCCAAAACCATGAGAGATAAGAAGAATAAATGATAATTGTTTTATATCACTAAGTTTGGGGTTATTTGTCACACACCTATAGATAATCTGAACCAAAAAAAGATGCTTTAATCATGAAGATGATACCTAGACAGTAAAGATAGACAATAGATGGATGACAGGCATCCAATGAGCATTTACTATGTACCAGATACTAGACCAAGTGGTTTATTGACATCAGATTCTCATAATAATCTTATGAGGTTGATATTCTTATCCTTAACCACTTACCTGGGGTTACACAGCTAGGATGGAGCAGGTCCCCCAGACTCCAAGCCCATGCCCAGTGCAGGGTGGGGAGCACAGGTGAGGAAGGGAGGGTGAGGGAGTTAAGGATGAAAAGTGACAGAAGTTCCAGGCCTTATGAACTCAAGAAGAATTTAACCACTCACTGAACCAGTCTGACCTCCTTTCTGAATGCCTCACTTTAAGATTTTTGTCTGGAGCACACCTTGTCCCTTACTCTTCTCCTGGGGACTGGAGGAGAACCTACCTCTTGACCGAAAAATGAAGAACCTCAGAGAGAAGGCTGCCAAGGACTCTGTTGTGCCATCTTCTGTTCTGGAAAAAAGGTGGCCAAAATAAGAAAAGCAGTTTTCTGTTGTTGTGACCATGATGATGGTGGTGATGGTCATGGTGGGAGTTAAAATTCGTGGACTTTCTTTGTAGAAAAGGGAGGCCTTTGGCCAGAATCATGCCAAGCCCTCTTTTCTAAAGAAAATCCAACAAAATGATATGGGTATGACATGTGACATCTTTAGAACATAGGTGGTTATAGAAGTCCCTCCCAAACCCATCCAAGCAGCCAAGAATCTTAGAGCCACTGACACTCGCCACTCCTACGTGGCTATTCTAAACTTGGTCCATTGTGGCTCAGGGGTCATTTATGATCCTAACTGAATAGCCCAATGCAGAAAGAGAGTCCTTGTAAGTTTAACACAGCATCCCCAAGGCTCAGCATAGTGCCTGGCTTATGTTAGGCCCTTGATACACATTCATGAGTAAAACAAACCTTCAGCAAACCGCAGTCTTACTGGGGACCAGGGATATCCATGACTGGATTCCCAAGACCTCACCAGAGCTCTCAGAAGGGGTGGTTGAGGATGGGAGTTGGGCACATGGGCCTCCCCTGGGACAGAGATGGCCTCAAGGTCCTTGGAACCACAGAAGAAACTGTGTCACAATCACATTATTCAAAGACAGATGGAGGTTGATGGCTGACTAGGCCTTTTGTGTGACCTGGAAGAAGATGTGTTTCGGGAGAATATACCACCGTAAGAAGAAATAGCTAATGTTTCTGGCAACTTGCGATGTGCCATTTTAAAACTTCACATGAATTTACTTATTTGATCCTCAAAATGACCCCGTGACATATGTGACGTCATTACCATCATCAACATCATCATTTTATGGAATAAAACTGAAGCTGCATAGAAAGGATCACAAGTTGTCTGAAGTTCCATGGCTATTTTCTGGGTGATAGAACCGGGACAAAACCCCAGACGGTCTAGTCCTAACCACGCTCCCTGAGTGCTCCCTGTGGGCTCCCCTGCCCTGCATTTAACACCTTCCAAGAGTTGTGGCCTCACCACCAACGCCAGCCCCATGTGGTACGTGGACAGTCAGGGTCCTGGCACTCCCTAAAATACTGATGGAAAAGAGTCAAATGAAGGGACCATTGCAGAGGTGAAGCAAGGCTGAGGGGCCCAGGGAATGGGGTGAGTGGACACCAGGGCCCAGAAGGGAGGGAAGCCATTGCATGCCCAGCGCTGAGGACACAAAGGAGAACTTGGGAGTGGAGGTGACCATGGAGAAAGTGACGGTGGTAGTTAAAGCCAAGCCACACCCTGGCAGGGAAAGAGCTGGGGAGCCCAAGTCCTACCTGCTCTGGCCACCTTTGGAGCTCCCAGTAGTGCCACAAGCCAGCAAGCCAGAGGCCGCCTCCCGGGCCAGGCAGAGAAGAGGTGGGGGGAGGGGGAGGGAAAGTGGGGAGTGGCCTGGAGGGCAAACAGAAGGCTTCCAGCACAGGAGAGCTTAAGTTGAAGCCACAGGAGTCTCAGCCACTCACCCAAGGTCGCCAGCCCGAAGGCGGCAGGTGGCGGAGCCACGTTGACTCAACTCCAGAATTCTTTCCACGGCTGCCTGTGTGGCCTGGGTCACAGCAAGGAAGGTTTCGGTGTGTGCACATTGGTGTAAACGATCATCAACAAGGCTGCCAGCAGCCTCTGCAGTGTTTTTGTAATGGGATTTTAATTCGCTCCCCCCATCTCCCCGCTGAGCTGAAAAGCACTCCTGTTTGTCTACTTCTTGTTAGGCTGTTGCCTAAAACAGGAAACAGGAGGCAGCAGCCCCTCTGGTCTGCTTACCTCGGGGAGGACATTCACACTCTCCAGGCCAAACCCCTTCCTCGGGTTCCGCGGCCGCTCTGCAAACACCACCAGCCTCCCTGCAGCCGGGGAGGAGAGGTTGTGCGCAGGGCACCATGGGAACAGGGAAGGGAAGGGAATGGGCTGCCACCTCCAGATGCTCCCCACAGTCCCCAGAGGTGGCCGTCTCCCCAGAGCAGGGCTTTGGAGTCCACTAGAACCTGATTCCCAGCCCTCGTCCCTGTCGTTCCTGTATCCGGAGGAGCCACGACCGTCCACTGATTGTCAGGCCAAAAGCCCGAATGTTCCTGGGTCCTGTGTCCATCACCCCCACCCCCGGTCTTGAGCAAGTCCTATAGATGCCAACTCGTCCTCCCCCAAAGAACCAGTCCCTCTCAGGGCACACCAGGGTGGAGTTCTCTTCCTCTGACTATTCCCTTTATACGATGGGTGGGCTGCAAATTTGCACTTAAATTGCATTTTTGTAAATCGAATCCCAGCATGCCATTGGCTTACTGAAGCTCTTTCTGAGATTCCCTCCCCAGCGAATCCTAAACATTTTAACCCCAGCTCTACCATTGGAAAATAGTCTAGGCTTTTCCAAAAGGCATTTTGTACCGATCTACTCATGTCTACGATGTGGGTCGTTCCGTGGGGCTTCTTTGACTGACTGCTGTATGTGCTGAGCGTCTGGGTGGCTTCCCTTGGTGCTGGTAATGAGCATCGTGCTGGCTTCTCTTTGTTCGTCTCCTCCCCCCCCCCCCCCCCCCCACCACTGCCATTCCATGAAAGCCATTCTTTCTCCTTCCCTCCAACCTCTACAGGCTGATTGACCAGGCGCTTTTGTCCCTCCCTTCTAGTTGGGTTTGGCCAATTGAAGACACTGGCTCAAAGCTGAAGGCAAGAGAGAGAAAGGTTGGGGTATTTATTCCACTCACTCACTCCCTGCCTGCTGCTGTCCTGGAGCACCCCTCCTCTTTCCACGGCTCTACGCTCCACCAGAGCACCAGAGGGGCTCCACCAGAAACACTCCTTTCCCTCACCTCCAGGTGGTAAGGCCTCCCCACTGGTGTGGATCCCTGGATCCTACATCATCCTGTGCTGGCTCCCTCAGCTCTGCTCACAAGTCTGTATGTATACGAATGGTCTCTTCATTAGACTGCCTTCTCTGGAACCCCTAGCTGGTGCCATCTGCTTCCCACTGAGACCCTGCCTGGTACAATGACAGTCACAATGGCGATGTTGCTAGGCTCCAAAAGTCAAAGCCAGACTCCCACCTCTCCCCCCAGGGCCCCTGGTAACTCATTTTTAGCCCAGGGGTAGGTTCGGAGGAAAACCAGATGCCTCCAAGGTGAAGTTGGCACCAGGGTGAGTTGCCAGTGTCGACACCAGTGACAATCTTGGTCATTGGAGGAGAGGGGCTGTCCTGTGCATTGTAGAATGCTTGGCACCATCCATGGCCTCCACCCACCAGATGCCCATAGCATGTTCTTCCATGATGATAATCAAAAATATCTCCAGACTTTGCCAAATTTCCCTTGGGGGGCAAAGATATCCCAGTTGAGAACCATGGCCCTCCAGAAGGATGGGGCACAAGCTGAGGGCAAACAGGGCTGGTTTGCTTCTTAGAAGAAGGGGAAGGAGGGAGTGGGCAGCTCAGGAGGCCCTGAAGGTTCTTCCTGGGAACGCAAGAAAGGGGTCCTCAGCAAGCTCCCGCGGTGGCTCCAGAAAACCGGCCGAAGCCCAGGCTTTGCAAACCCCACTCCTCACATGCAGCCCAATGCCCCGCTTGGCGCTGGTGCCTGAGCAGAAGGACCCACACTGAGTAGCGCCTCTCGTGCCCCCTCCCGGCTCTCCCCCATGCTCCCCTCTTCTCTCCTCTTACCCGCCTTGAAATGATTTTGGGAGGCAGCTGGCGACAGGGGAGTACAGCTGCCGCTAAGTTATCCAAACGATTTATCTTAAGATTCATGCAGAATTCATTGTGTGGGGACCAGGGTGGGTTGCGTTTTAATATTCATGCAGATTTGGAAGAAATGTTAATCATGGGTTTGGGTAATTTGCACTTCTGCTTAATTCTCCCGCCAGGCGTTGGCCAGCCCCTTAGCCCTCTCCTCCCCTCCAGTCCCCTGGGCTCCCTCCAGCCCACCGGCAGCTGGGGCTGGGCCGGGAGGTGGGGTGGGGGCTGGCCACTGTCTCCCCGGTTGAGCCGGCCCCACCACACCTCTGAGCAGCAGGGGGAGACTGGGCGGGCCGCACCAGGCTTGAAGATCTGGAGGAGACGTTGGGCCATCTTGACGGGAAATAGATAACCCACCAGAGCGGCCAGATATGTGCAAATTAGCATTGATTATTCTCAAATTAACAGCTTGGGCATTTCAAACCCAAAACAAGGCCTCGGCTCTGCTCTGATCTCCTCCCTCTCTCCCCCTCCCTGCTCCCCTCGGCTTCCCCTGCCCCCAGTGTCAGCCCTCTATGCCCAGCACAGGTGAGAGGCTGCCTCCTGGGGAAGGGGTCCCTGGGGTCTCCCCGCCAGATCTCATGATCGTATGCTCTCCCCTCACATTCCTCCACCGCTGGAGAAGAGATCTTTTCGGCACGTGTTCGTGGCTCTGACCACTCCCTCCTAGTCTGAGCCCTGCATATACGGGGAAAGTGGGCTTTAGGACTTAAGGCCAAGCACATCTCCCACACCCTCCCAGATGAGGTGGAGACGGCTTTAGAGGATCACAGGGGTGATATCGGGGAGTGAGTGGGTCTAAGGAGCCCCCGAAGAACACCTAGAAAAGTCCTGGATCCCACCCCCCTACCCCGGCAGAGGGTCCAGGGTTCATCAGGGGCTGCTGTCTGAAGTCCTCCTCTCCCTCTTGCAGACGGGAAAAGTAAAGTCCAGAGAGGAACAGCAACTAACCCAAGTTCACACAGCGTGTTATTGACAGAAGGAGAATTCGAGTCCAGGTTTGTCTGAGGCCCAACCAGATGGTGGCGGCATCGGGTCCAAGAAGGAAGCAGACGCCACTCGGAGGATCTGAAGGGGGAGCCACATCCACAGGGACTTGGTCACATGGGTGAAGGACGAACTGAGAAACCAGACAGGGGATGGTGAGGCGGGTCAGGACTAGCCCAGCACGAAGCTGCTGCCATCCCGGGCGGGAGCCACAGGAGGAGCGGGGCCCCTCGTGCTGGCCAGTGGGCCTGTCTCACAGGAGCAGGACAGCGGAGGAGAATAGGAAACACCACGCACCTCCCTCTCTCCCTGCCAGGGCCTCACCCGCTGCCTTCATCTGTCCAGGCTGCTCTCACGAAAATTCCAGAGACGGGGGCTTAGACCACAGACATCTAGTCCTCACAGTCCTGGAGGCTGGAGGTCAAGGTGCTGGCAGGTTCAGTGTCTGGTGGAGGCCCACGTCCTGGTTCACAGACGGCTGTCTCCTCTCCGTGCTCACGTGGAGGGACGAACGAGGCTTTCTCTAGGGTCTCTTTGTAAGGACACGAAACCCATTCGGGAAGGTTCCACCCTCGTGGCCTGATCACCTCCCAAAGGCCCCGCCTTCTAACACCACCACACAGCTGCCTCTGTCTGGGCCCAGAGTAATAATCAGGGAGCCGCAGGCGGCCGAGGACAGGGGCCCAGAGACACACGGCAGTGGTCCCCAAGACCTCCCTCTTGCCCTACCTCTCCCTTGTCTGTTAAGACCGAGAGTCCCAAAGCCCCCATGCCCACCACCCTCACAACACACACACATACACACACACACACACACACACACACACATTCACGCACCGGGGTATCCTGGAATCAAGGTGCCCGAGTGCCAAGGTGCCCCCAGAATGCCCACTAAGGCACAGAGTGAATGAGATGCCCATTGAGGGAGCATCTCAGAACCACCCCAGTTTCCCCCTTGTCTCGCGGAGGAAGCCTCAGAGCACCAAGCACATACCTTCCTTCCAGACGGAGTCCCTTGAAAGCAAGGTGTGAGGCAGGGATGCCTTCACCTGCCCCAGG